ATGCAACCAGAGTGAAATTGTTTTTGAAATTAATATTAATAATAATAATAATAATAATAATAACTTTATTTAATTAAGCGCAATGCAGATATTAATTTTCCCTCTGCTATTAATTAATCCACAAACCAGAATTATTGACATCCATTTATATATGACCTAGTTTCTTCTTGTAACTATGTGCCCCCTTATCTTGGCAGGAAGAATTGCCATATTTTTATGACGCAGTAATTCAAGTGAATCTACAGTGTTCAGAGATGACACGACAACAGCTGATGGAAACATTTTTTTCCCGAAGTCATATAGTGACAAATATTTTTTTTTTACACTGGTTGAAGCAGCAATTTTTTTGTTTTTGAAGAACCCTTCACTTTGCAAATTTTTTTTTTTCGTTTCTGACTTTCCCCCCCCCCCCTCAAAAATCAAATGGTCCAACCCTAAATCAACTGTGAACATTCTGGCTTCACTTGGTCACGCAAAATTTCTGGTTCAGAGAAATCACAAAAAGTCATTTTGAAGATATCTGATATGTTCTACTCGTGCTATTAAGAGCAGTAAAATAAAAGCACTAAAAGTTTCCAGTGAGCAATCCACAAAAATACTAAAAGTCCAGTCATTAAATCCTCACCATTTACCAGCCTCCAGGCAAAAGTTGTGTTGATCATGGCCCTCATAACAGATCCAAGGCATTTTGGGACCAATGATCATTTTTTGAATGCACATTCTTAGCCAGTGTTGAAGCCACTGATCTAACATTCTAATTCTGTCAGAACAAAAAATCTATGTGATCAGAGATGTAAACCTAAAATAAGCTACCTTTACCAGTATCTGTATATTACACAACTTCGAGTATCATAATAAATCACTAAGCCAAAGTAAAATGGAAAACACAGATGAGACCTGAAAGTCTTCAGGAGAGAGATGTGGTGTTTTTCTGCCTATATGTCTGATTTAGTATGACCAAGCTATTAGATAATTGTGATATTTACTTGACTTGGTGGTGAGCTATCTTGTGGGAAATTATAATCAGTCAAACTTTACCACAAGCTTATAAAGTCTCAACTTGTCTATCAGGCAAAGGCAATCTAAAATTGATTTGAACGGACTGTTGTCTAGTAACCTTCCCAACGATGAAGAGTGACAGCACTCGTTTCGATTCACGCCATAGATTAATTATTCGGCAACAAAGCAAATTTGTTAGTCATGTTGCCATGGCAACTAAAAGGATAGTAAATAAATAAAAGCCAAGTTGGGCAACAGTTTGAAAAGTTTCGAGTTCCACAGTTACCTTAGAGAGTTGCACGTTCTGGTGTAAATGCATTCTAATTTTGTCAGGGGTGATTTTGCTGCATAAATGTTCCATAGCTAGAAAACATTCATACGATCTTGCACAGAAACCAATTGATGTCGCTATGTGTACACTTGGGGATTACATGATGCATCCCTCACAATCTTTCTATTGTTAATGATGGCAGACTTGTAGAAAAGCAAAAACATCAAATAAAAGAACACTAGCTTTGTCAGAGCATTTGAAGCATTAGTTTTTCACTCTTCTCCCACACCACAAATAACATGGCAAACATCAGGTATGCAAATAACTGGAATCACACTAGACAATGTACTTTATTTCACAGCATTCATGGCACATTTTAAAGAAATTCAAGTTTTTTTCGTAATTATACAAATACTGCATAGTGAAAGAAATTAGTTCAACACTTGTTTTACCATTCTGTTGCTGAACATCAGAGCTACTAGAGACAAGGTTAATTTGATTTGGTATTTAATAGACTAAGCAAGATTGTAATTCATTAGAATTAGGACATACACTGAATTTATCATTGATAGAAAAATTATATCTTGTTTGCAGGATATCATTAAATGATGCACATTGTAGTAGGTACTTCAATGGTGTATCACGCAAGTACATAAAAGTTTCCTCACTACTGTTGCCATGACAACTATTTTTTGTATGCATGTTTGCTACCATGTCTAAACTCTCAACCAATCTGAAGTACAACTTTTGAAATTTCTCACAACAGTGGATACAAGGTCTTACTTTACCCACAATTTCTTGCTGAAGCATCAAAATGGTGGACTACATAAATTGATGGAAAGTTTAATATCTAGAGTATGAAAAGTGATAAAATTAAAAAAAAATGTTAATTGCATTTTCTTACATTCTCCAAGCTCTTTCATCTGGGAACACTATGTTGTAAATGCATGTGTAAAGATTATGTCCAAGAAAATTAAAATACACAAACCAGAAAAAAGGATTATCTTGTAGCCAGGTGACCTGATAAAAACTATGTGTATTGTTAAAGTTGTTACAGAAGATAATAAAAAAATACAGACTTTTGGTTAAGCTGTACCCAAAATTGCAAATCAAGTTTTTCAAATATAATGAAGATTATTTAAATTTAAAGAGAATTTGAATCTCATCTTAATCCGCTTACAATACTAAGTGTGATAGTGCATTCAAAGATTTTAGCTTTCAAAACTTAACGTTATCAGATATGTACCGGTACTACAACTTAGCTTAATAGATGTAGAAAAATACTAATTATACATGTACATCAAAACAACCGCAAATAAATATAAAAAATCTATATTAAAAACTGAATAAAAAAATTCTATCACCTTAAATTACTGAATAAATACTACAAAAAAATGTCCTACTTTTTAGGATTAATTTAAAGAATAGCTTTCTTAAGAATAAATTCTTCATTGCTTGATTTGCAAAATTGTGTACCGGTACATTTGTTTTACTTTACAACTGCCATTGTTCATGTTGCTACCTTCTACAAAATGTAGTCATGTAAAATATTTCCTTTCCAAACAAAACTATCACCAAACTTTTCAGAGCCAGAAAAATGAACAAATGGGCCTTACATCATCAGCAAAACCAATTGATGTACTTACGCATGACCCCCCCCCCCTACAGGTCACTCATCCTGGAAATTCCTAGATGTATTGCTGTCCTACAACAGCATGCATTTCACTTCTATGTTTGTATGTTTTTTTAAATGTATTCAAGAAATTTAATTCTCATTTACGCACAATTTGTACCCCTAGAAAGTACCAGGATACATAAACTTTTTGGAATCATGTAAGAATAACATTGAAATCAGCGAAAATGTTTAAATAGTCAACTATCTAATTAATAAATAAGTAGAATATAAAATGTTTGCGTGTTTTTGAAAAAAAAAAAGGTTTTTCTTCATCTTCAAAAAATACATTGCATGTGACCATATTTTGCATCTTATAGTTCATTGTGTTTACGAGATGAAATACGATCTGTGAAATCAGCAAAGTATTTCTTAACCTGCAAGGAAGATAAAAAAGCATTATAATATTAAAATGCCCCAGCACATGCTCAAAATTATTGTAAACAAATGACATGTGACCTACACTGCGAATAGCGGCTTGTATCAAATATGATCAGACTTGACACAACACCACATGGCATGATAAAAATTGACAAAAATTGTTGAGCTTTATACTATGTAGAATCTAATAAAAAAATTGTGCATGTACAACTTGGAATATGAATGCAGTCGTGAATCATTAACTAATGCTCTAAAATAGAACAGCTGTAGAGTGGAACTTTGCATTCAGTGAGAGATAGTGACATGCAAGTCCAGATTTATTGACAGTTGATCAAGAATACTGATCGCAGAATGGCGTGTTATCCAACAATCCAAATAATCAGCCCCTTATGCGTAAAATCGAAAATAGCAAGAAATGCAAGTAAGTTCGATAAGAGTACAACATGGCCAAGGCAAACAAATTGTTGCCATGGATACCAATATACAAGTTTTTTTTCTGTACTTACTGTTTTTGACATATCTTTGACTCGATCTTTTAAACTTTGATGATGCTGTGGATCGACTTTCTCACCAGAATTTCTTTTTGACTGAAAGTGCATCTCTGCCTGCAGTGCTTCATGTTGCAGACTCTCATGTTTTTGAAGCTTTCTTTCAAAATGCTTCAATTCTTCCTGTTTAGAAAAAAAATAACATTCCTATAATCTGTGTTTTTACTTATTCCACATAATTGAACATGAACTAACTGACTGACACACACAAAAAACATCTTAGTATGTTGAGGTTTCACAGTAAGTTTAATCCATAATACTCATCACTGAACAATTGTAGAAAAAAACTAAATTTGCTGAAAATTTTGCAGAAAAAACAAAATGTATACACTTTCATGTACCTTAAATGAATACTATTCGCCCATATAAATAACTTTATTCAAAAAAGTTTGGTCATTGTTAGTTGCTTTACTAATGGGAAAGTGATCAATGAGCAGAGAAAATGTGGCACCATCATACGGTGGTATGAAATGATCTTCTGTTTTTATAACATTGACCAATAGAGGGCAGTGTAAGAATTATGAATCTATATTTCTGTGCATACAATGTATATTTGCAATGTAGTGATTTACATTGAAACATTCATGTTTCAGTGATATAAAAGTTGAACGAGTGTCTATGCAAGGAATGTCATCAATCTTTGTGTTACATTGGCAAGTGACGTCATCAATCTTTGTGTTTCATTGGCAAGTGATGTCATCATTTCTTGTGTTTTGATACATACAATGTAATTGTTTCTTTTATTATTTTTGCAACCAAAAATCATTCCTAGGTGTCTCCGTGCAAGTGATGTCATCAGTATTTGTGTTTCAGTGTAAACAGTGTCATCATTCTTAATGTCTCAGTACAAGTGATGTCATCAGTATTTGTGTTTCAGTGTAAACAGTGTCATCATTCCTAATGTCTCAGTACAAGTGATGTCATCAGTATTTGTGTTTCAGTGTAAACAGAGTCATCATTCCTAATGTCTCAATGCAAGTGATGTCATCAGTATTTGTGTTTCAGTGTTAACTTTCATCATTTCTAATGTCTCAGTACAAGTGATGTCATCAGTATTTGTGTTACAATGTAAAGTGTCATCATTCCTAATGTCTCAGTACAAGTGATGTCATCAGTATTTGTGTTTCAGTGTAAACAGAGTCATCATTCCTAATGTCTCAATGCAAGTGATGTCATCAGTATTTGTGTTTCAGTGTAAACAGTGTCATCATTCCTAATGTCTCAGTGCAAGTGATATCATCAGTATTTGTGTTTCAGTGTAAAGTGTCATCATTCCTAATGTCTCAGTGCAAGTGATGTCATCAGTATTTGTGTTTCAGTGTAAAGTGTCATCATTCCTAATGTCTCAGTGCAAGTAATATCATCAGTATTTGTGTTTCAGTGTAAAGTGTCATCATTCCTAATGTCTCAGTGCAAGTGATATCATCAGTATTTGTGTCACAGTGTAAAGTGTCATCATTCCTAATGTCTCAGTACAAGTGATGTCATCAGTATTTGTGTTACAGTGTTAACCGTTATCATTCCTAATGTTATCAGTATTTGTATTTCAGTGTAAAGTGTTATCATTCCTAATGTCTCAGTGTAAGTGTTGTCATCAGTATTTGTGTCACAGTGTAAACAGTGTCATCATTCCTATTGTCACGGTGCAAGTGATGTCATCAGTATTTGTGTTACAGTGTAAACTGTGTCATCATTCCTAGTGTCTCGTCCATCCCATCCCATCCCATCCCGTCCCATCATAAACATTTTACTTACTTTAAGTGACTGTAACTCATCCTCTGTGAAGTTAGAAGCCAAAGCATCTTTGTACATTTTAACAAGTCTTGGTTCTACGAATTCTCCACGCTCTTCTTCTGGCAACATTTTTATTTCTAATCGTTTATAATCATCATTCAATGACTTGTGTTTCAATTTTAACTCTAATTCTTTCAATTTCCGGTCTTTGCCTGCCTTGGCTTCATCAACATCAAGTCTATTAAACTTATCAATCCGATTGAAATCTAGAAAATTGAAAATTACAAAGTTATAATTATAAAAAAAAATGTTACAGGGATGAATGTAGAATTCTACAGGTTGAATAAAAGAAACACTGTAAAATACTTTATTTTAGCTGGAATTAATTTTCGCTGAAAAGACTTTTGGGTATTTTGTATGGAATTTATCTCCACTGATGTTTGACAAGTTGAATGTAAAAAATAGGAAAAAATGTATACTTGCTAGATTTCATTTCCACTGAATCGTTCCTTCAGCGAAAATTTATTCCAAGCGAAAATGAAGTATTTTACAGTATATGACAATCTTGCAGCAAATTTAGTTATTGGACTAAGATTTCCAGCCTACTTGGATTTTAAGTTACAAGCAAATACCATACCCCATGCATTTATGTATGCATGCACATATGGAGAAATTTACATAAATTGGTTTCTATGGTTTCTGTGGCAAATTAATATTTGGCCCAATCTTGTTCCAATGCAAAATTACCAGGACTGTTTTATTCTGAGGCATAATCTTTACTATTAATTATTCATGATACGCAGTGACATTATGGAAGCTGGGAGTACAACACTAACAATAGGGGAAAGTAGACAATGCTTGCGCAAGAGATTCTACATTCATATTATGTGTTACAGTTGTGAAAAGCAGGTCAGATCAAAAGCTCTTTCTTATTGGTTGACAGCTTACAATTCATGCTACTCATTAGCATATTTATCACCTCAAAAACACAGCGGCAAATATAGAGAGCACGGCAGAACAGAGCAGTCATACAAATTTTGTGTCAATGAGAGAGATTCTCAAACTTCTTGAAAGGAATTATCATATGAAACAATAAAATTGCTATGACTGGTCCAGTCTAGCTTCACTATACAGTAAGCTAACAGCTACAATTTGAATGGGAACACTTCAATGAAAAAGGATTAATCATACCCAATGGCACTTCACAAAGTCCTCAAAAATACAATGGAAAATAAAAACCGTATGCTGTAAATTTACCTTCCAAAATCTTATTTCAACATGTTGCACATTTTTCAATTAAATGGACACGCGGTACTTTCATTTCCTTCAGGCATCAATTTTTTTAAAGAAATTCTTTATTTTGCTAAAGGTGACACTCAAAGGGTAAGTATACTTTCATGTTCCAAAAAAACGTACCGGTAAGTTTATTTTCCCCCCAGAAAAACTCCATCCGGTACATTCTTATTTGGGAAAATACGTTTATTTATTTTTCTAAATTGGGCCAATTAAAAGAATAATTTCTTGATTTAAAAAATAAAAGCATGCCATTTTCCCATCTAAATCAAAGCCAAAAGATCACACTAAAACATCGGTAAATCTCTTCCATGTTGCGTTGAGCATGAAGTCGCTGAACATATAAAATGAGCTATGGTAATTCAAACACATTGGCACCCTCCAGCAATTTGATTGGTTAATTAGCATCTTGACCTATCAGGTCAATAAACACAGTTGTTTCAGGCCTTGTGTGCATGGACAACATGGCGGATATCAATTTGCATCGAGCGTTTACATATGACCGAAATCACTCGTTAACGATGAAACTAAGTTGAATTTCATAACAATTCAACAAATTTATTTTTTGTACATTATAATAATCACTACTGTGTACTAATCAACAATTGCAACACTTCGAAAACAGTAAGTTATTCACTTGTAAAACTCAGCATGACCGAGATCAGTTGCTACTAAGCAATATGTTTGTTTTGATTTGAAACTTCTTTTAGAATATACTTTTTGTTACCAACAAAATAAAAAAAAAATAATGCATATTAAATATACAAATATATATAAATATTTTTATTTTTTGTCATGTGAACAGTTTTTTTGATTGACTAATGTCAAAATCGCCTATCATAGAACCAAATTAAGGTCTTTCACTCCTCCTTGACACCTATTTAAAAGATTATTTGTTTGCAATTTGATTAAATCTTGCGGCCTGGCAAACAGAGATTTGAAGTATATTGCTAGAAATGCATCATTTGTTGTCCATTTATATTCCTTATTACAAGGGACAGTGAAAAGTTTGCATATTCACCAGTAACAGCACATTTTAGAAGCAAGGGAACAATTTACCGGTCATTTTGGAAATTTTCTGTGGGGTAGGTGTATTCTGGGGGGGGGGGGGTATGTTTATTAGATTTTGAAGATTTGTCCAAGGGGTATGTTTATTCCAGGGGTTATGTTTATTTGAGACATGAGAGTAGTGTGAACTAGATGAATGAAAGTATCCCATACTACCACAATGCAATCCTAATTAGAGAGTACTCCACAACCTAAATACCCAGACACCAGTCATACCCTACTGCAATGAAAATACCCAGACACCAGTCATACCCTACTGCAATGAAAATACCCAGACACCAGTCGAGCACAGTCACTGAGTTAACAAAACATATACAACAAACTGGCAAAGTTGTCAAACAAAAATACATAAATTTGTGGAGAAAAAATATAACTGAAAAAAACAACACTGAGAACTTATGAAAAATTCAAAGACTCTTATAATTTTGAAAAATACTTGGTGTTTAATTTGAAACAAAGAATTTCAATGACAAAACAACCTACCATCTGTGCCCTGTATTTCATCCATTAATAATCTATATTCACTGACTTTGTCTTGATGATGCTCAAATTCTCTTCTTAATTCCTTGAGTTCCTCGTCAGAGAATTGGCCAGCTATAAATAAATTGAAAGGTGATATACATTAGCTATTATATATTAATTATTGACGGGACGGGACGGGACATGACGTGACGTGACGTGACGTGAAGTGACGTGACGTGACGTGACGGAACGGAACATGACGAAGCGAAATGAAATGAAATGAAATAGAAAAGAATAGAATATACCTACCAACATTATCAACTAGTAATTTGGGAAATTATTTAACTCGTAGCCAATATATCCGATCTTACTCTTTGGGTAATGCACTCTGTACGGACTAACCTGGTCTAAATAAATTAGTTTTAATATTAAAACTAAAAAATGTTTATATAGTTTTGTGAGCTCATTTGCATAGTATTGGAGAGATTAGCTTCTCATGGACAAGTTCCTATGTCCTCCTCATGGACAAGTTCCTATGTCCTTCTCATGGACAAGTTCCTATGTCCTTCTCATGGACAAGTTCCTATGTCCTTCTCATGGACAAGTTCCTATGTCCTCCTCATGGACAAGTTCCTATGTCCTCCTCATGGACAAGTTCCTATGTCCTTCTCATGGACAAGTTCCTATGTCCTTCTCATGGACAAGTTCCTATGTCCTTCTCATGGACAAGTTCCTATGTCCTTCTCATGGACAAGTTCCTATGTCCTTCTCATGGACAAGTTCCTATGTCCTTCTCATGGACAAGTTCCTATGTCCTTCTCATGGACAAGTTCCTATGTCCTTCTCATGGACAAGTTCCTATGTCCTCCTCATGGAGGAGTTCCTATGTCCTCCTCATGGACAAGCTCCTATGTCCTTCTCATGGACAAGTTCCTATGTCCTCCTCATGGACAAGTTCCTATGTCCTTTTCATGGACAAATTCCTATATCCTTCTCATGGACAAATTCTTATATCCTTTTCATGGACAAATTCCTGTATCCTTTTCATGGACAAATTCCTGTATCCTTCTCATTGCAGCTACACACTAAGGACTAAGTCAAGTCATTCACCCATCCAGCTGGACTGAAGGACAGATGGCCAGAGACAAGTAAGGGCACAGTCAAATTCAAAATTGTTTTTTTAAAGACGTAGATTATGATTAAATATTAGAAGAGAATATATAATCAGCATGAAAATGGGCTACTGACTGAGTACAGACAACTTTTTTTAACAAAATAGGTCAAAGTATGTCTGAAAAACCAACAAGGACATCTGTTTGAATCAAATCTCAATACAAACTGAAACATGGACTAAAAATAACTCACATGCTAAAGACTTTGACCATAATTTATTAAGTCTCATATCTTCAAATATACGATCTCCTTTAAAAGAGCCAGTGGCAGCCAGACCCTCCTCAGCTAGAGCATCTTTCCCCATTCCATATCTCTTCATAATTTCTGCAATGAAAAAAATTATATTAATTTTCCAATATTGGCATTATTGTACATTATTGTATTATTAAATTATCATAAACTGTAATCATTTTAGAGGCATGCATTTATTTGTTCGATGCAAATGTTTTTTAGTACTTTGAATTAAAGGGTATTGGAGATCATTTTTTGGATTTGGGGGAATTTTTTACTACGGGTAAGACTGAACTATATATAAAAAAAACACTGATCTACCTGATGAAAATACACAAAAATGCACAACACTTCCCATAGCTCGATTCATTACTGTAAGGTCAGTCTAAATACCAGACAGTAACTGTTTTGAATGAGTTTGGAGCTTTAATTGTTGTTTCTTTGTTTTATTATTGTATGACAAGGGTATATTGAGAGTTAATAAATATTATAAATATGAACATTGTGTAAAATTTAACAGTTATACATGTAACAGTCTATGCAAAAGGTAACAGCACCCATATACACACAAGATTAATGTTTTTTTTTCACTTTTTGTCATAAGTATGTAGGTATATGCCCGGATGAAATATTTGGCTCAGTATTTACATACATAAAATCATTAAAAACATTAAAAATACTTATTTTTTATCAACATATTTTAG